TCTATAATTGGTATTCATTCCTCTTCTCTCACTTCCTTCTTAATGCTCTGAAGGCTGACTTCTGACCTAATCTTCAACAAAACTTGGCCTCTCCAAAGTTACCAATGATCTAATTGCCAAACCCAATGGTCTTTTCTCCATTCTCATCTTTCCTGACCTCTTTGCAACCTTTGACACTCTCCATCACCTTCTCCTTTCCACTCTCTTCTCTCTAGGCTTTCAGGATGCCTTTCTCTCCTGGTTCTCCTCCTCCTTGTTAGACTGTTCCTTCTCATTCTCCTTTGCTGGATCTCTGTCTGGGTCATGCCATCCAACTGGAGGTGTCCCGAAAGATTCTGCCCTGGACCTTTTCTTCTCCCTCTATACTACATCACTTGGTGATCTCATCACCTCCTATAGAACAGGGGTGGGGAACCTGTGGCCTCAAGGCCACATGTGGCCTCCAGGTCCTTCGGTGCAGCTTTTGGCTGAGTCTAAGTTTTATAGAACAAATCCTTTTATTAAAGGGATTTGTTCTGTGAAGTTTGGATTCAGTTAAAGGGTTGCACTTGAGGACCTCTCCACCCCTGCTGTACAGTTATGTCTATGCTGATGATTCTCAAATGTACCTGTGCAGTCCTAATCCCTCTCCAGTCTGTCATCTCCATCTGCCTGTTAGACGTCTCAAACTGGTCCAATAAATGTCTTAGACTCAACATGTCTGAGATGGAACTCGTTATCTTTTCAAACCTCAAACCCTTCATTCCACCTCTCTTCCTACTCACCTATTACAGTCTAGGGTACTCTCATCTCCTGGTCCCCGGGCTCACAACGTAGGTGTTATCCTGGTCTCCTCACTAGCCCTCAACCCTCCCCATATCCAATCTGTTACTAAGGCCTGTTGATTTCATCTTTGTACCATCTCTTGAATACACCTCCTTTTGTCTTCTCTGACACTGACATGGCCCTGGTGTGGACCTCCTCACTTCATGCCTGGACTATTGCAATAGCTGCTGGTGGATTTGCCTGCCTCTAGCCTCTCTCCACTTCACTCCATCCTCCATTCAGTCACCAAAGTGATTTTCCTAAAACACAGATCTGACTATACCATGCCCATACTCAATAAGCTTCAGTGGCCCTCTACTGCATCTTGGATCAAATACAAAATCCTCTGGCATCCAAAGCCCTGAATAACCTGGCCCCACACACACCTTACTCCTCTGTCCAGTGGCATTGGCCTCCTGGCTGTTTCAAATAAAACCCTCCATCTCTTGCACCAGACATTCTCTTTGGCTGTCCCCCATGCCAGGAATGCTCTTCCTCTTCATCTCTGCCTGGCTATCCTAACTGCCTTCAGATCCTAGCTAAAATCCCACCTTCTACAGGAAATCTCTCCAGATAAGCCTGACTTCTAGTACAAGTAGGAGATGATGTGGGGGGAGACCTGACCCCTGGAATTGGGAATCTTTGACTTCAAACTTAGTCTCATTTCCTGTGTCACCTGGAGCAAATCACTTAACCTATATATTTACTTCCAATTCTTCATCTGTAAATGGGTGTAACAGTACATACTCCCAGGATGTGGGGGAGGAGCAAATGGAGATATATTTGTAAAGACCCTGGCAAATTGCCAGTGATATATAAATGCCCACTGTCATTATTGGTGCTTTTCCTCTGCTGATAATTTCCAATTTCTCCTAAGTTTATTTGTACATAAGTGTTTTCCTCCCTTCAACCCTCATTACGCTAGGCGTTCTTCCAGGGCTGGGAGTGTACCCAGGGTTTAGGTCAGTGCCTGGCACATATTAGATGCTTCATAAATGCATGCTAGCTGTTATTTTCGCATTTTTGTTTTAGAGTAACATAGGCATGAAGGGGTGTCCTCACTGGGGTTGGACACCGAACTCGGGAGCTACTGTAGCTGGCCCTGTCCTACTGGACAGAAGAAAGGCCAACCACATATAGCTCCGTGCCTTCCCACGACTTCAAGCTCAGGGCCCAGAAAGAATAAGTGATGTTAAAGTTCAGAGATTAAGACTCAGAGGATGTGAGGAGAACTTCAGGACACTTGGGACAATTGACGTCGTGCAAATGACTCCTTTAAGTGCCAAGAAGCTGAGCAGAGAGCCTGCCAAGTAGCAAGAACTCTACAAATGCTTCCTGTTTCAAGAAATGCTTCCTCCTTCAGAAAAAATCAAGGAAAGAAGCGAGGGAGGAAATAAAATAAAAACTTCAACGGCCGAGCCAGCCAGGAGTCGAACCTGGAATCTTCTGATCCGTAGTTAGACGCGTTCTCCATTGCGCCACTAGCCCCGATGTTTCTGCTGAGTGGTCATGAGGGGGCTGCTGAATGCAAAGTCTGGCTTTGGGCCACTGGTTCTGCCTGCCTACACCCGAGGCCACGCCCGCAGAAAGTACAGTCAGCACCGCGATCAGGGCCCCGCGCCTAGGCCCAGCCTCTTGTTCCCTCAAACTCTCTCTAGGTCCTGGATTCCGATACCGAGGCTCCCCGTCAATCCCATCCTGCTCAGAGGACGCAGGACCGGAATCGCCTGGATCTGGACCCCGGCCTGGACGACTCTAACCTGACCCTAACCTAACCATCCCCTCCTCCTTTACAGACTCAGCTGGGGGCTCTCACGGGCCGCTGGACGACGCCGGGGCTCCCTTGGATCACGACTCTCATGGTCCTGCCTAGCCTCTGGCTCCCTGACTCCAAGCCACACCCAGCTAGAGGATTATCCACCGCGAAGCTAGGCCAGACCCAGAAGGAAGAGGGTATCCGTACAGGAAGGGCCCAGCCTCCGCGGGTAGCCAACTCCGCTGGAGCACAGGGTCTGTTTCCCTGCGGGCATGGCCCCCCCTCCGAGGCCGGGAGCGGCCCATGGACCACGGGGTGACCAACAACTCCAGGCGAGCTTACCTCCTTGGAACACCAACAGAACCGGCTCCTGCCGCGGGGCCAAGGCTCAGTTGTTTACGGAGCGTCCCATTTAGGGTTTTCTTGGCCAAGATACTGGAGTGGTGTGCCGTTTCTCCAGCCTCCAGGCCCTACATTCTAACCTCTGCTCGCATTAGACATCCCGGAGGGCCTCCGACAGGAGGAGGTGGTAGTTGGAGGGACTTCCCTCCTCTCCTACAGCGCGCGTTTTAGGGAGCCTTCCCGGATCTGTCCACCACCGTGCAGACCTGAGCCCCAAGAGAGCCCAGAAGGCCATCCACGGCCAGACAGGTCGTTCTGGGGGTGCTGAGGGACCACGCCAGCCCCCTTCCCTCATTGCTTCGGGGACTCTTCTTTCTTTGGGGCTCATTTATTCCGATTTCGGTTCTGACGCTTTAAAATTCCCTCTCCCCTCACACCCCACCCCACCCCCCAGCCAGGACCACTGAGCCGGAGACGCCGTGGGTCCGACACGCCTCCTCCTCTTCTCTAGGACTGGGCTCACTGTCTTTTTCTCGTCCCTTTCCCCTCTGTTTCTATCGTGTGTCTCCTTTGCAAGCTCTTGTCCCCTCATCCCGCACTTAGTAAGCGCCCGCTGTGTGCCAAGCCCGGACTGGGAGCAGACACAAGCCTGGCCTCCCGGAACTTCTCTTCTGTCTGAGGAGAGGCTTACACGTGAGAAGTACATCCTAGTGGGCCCAGAGCGAGGACAAAGCCACCACGGCGGGAGGTGGCAGGACAGGAGCTCGGGGACTCGGGGAGCCTCGAGCGGGGCGTGCTCGGGAGGCCGAGGACAAGACAGAGGGCCTGGGAAGGGAAAAGGCTGTCAGTTGTCAGGATGGCCGAGTGGTCTAAGGCGTCGGACTCAAGCGTAAGCTTCACTGTGTTGGGGAGCCTTCTGGTCTCCATCTGGGGCGTGGGTTCGAATCCCACTCCTGACAGTCTGCTTTTGGCGCGGGCCTGCCACGGCGTACCGGCCCTCTCTCTGGGGGGGGCTCTCTTCCCTTCCTGCTACGGCTAGCCCAAGCCACCCTCATGCGCTGGGGCGGTGGCTCGCTGTCCCAGCCCTTCGCGGGATCCTCGGCGTGCGCCCCCAGGCCTGAGGCGGGTCTCCCTGCACGCTCCGCCGAACCTCCTCCTGGCTCCGAGGTGGCTGCAGCCACTTCCACTTCCTCCTCCCAAGCCCCAGCCTAGGGGTCCTCCAACGGTCCTACAGGGTATGAGTTCGGGCGCCGATGCACACCTACTTCGGCAAAGCTAACTTTGATGTCATCTAGAGCACCAATGGGCGCCAGTTGTCGCCTCTGTTGCCGTGCGGACGAGCGACCCTGACCCAGTAAACTCAAACCCGGGAGGGTTGTGAATCTTATCCGTGGGGCAGCCCGCGCCTTGGGGACTTCCTGGGAGCTCCAGGGATTGGGGTCCGAGGCAGAAGCAGCCGCTTTTGATCCCCCACAGCGCATCACTGTGGGTGATGGTGAACGGGTCAGTCTCGGGCTGGGTGACACGGGCGGTGTGGCGGCGAAAAGAGTGGGGTGAGCAGCCCCTCCTCCCCACGAAGGAAGGAAGGAAGGAAGGAAGGAAGGAAGGAAGGAAGGAAGGAAGGAAAAGAAAGAAAGAAAAGAAAGAAAGAGACAGACTTGATACTGTCCTGGGGCTCCTTCTCCATGTTCTAAATACTGGGTCCGGGGGTTAGTCACTATCCTGACCTTCTTGCTATTGTTACGGCGCATTTAGAGTTAGGCTCTGCCCGTCTCCCTCCACATTAGTTCGAAGTGGGTTTCGTTCAAGAGACTCTTCCCCTCACCCCTTCCTCATTTGTATAGATTTCTGTTTACATCCCCCCCCAATTATAGGAGATAACGCCTCCCCAATTTTACCTCAATCCCAAGCGCTCCGTCAAATTAGGGTCCTTCTCTGACCTCTGCTGACAACTGTTCTTTGCGGGGGGGGGGGGGGGTGGCACTTGAAGCCACCTCTCTGCCTCATTAGAATGCAACACTTTATCCCCGTAAAGTCTTTCCAGTTGCTCGCTCTTATTGACCTTGGGCTCTTTAATCCCGCTTGTATTTCAAAGTTTCTCCACAATTCCAGTCTTTGAATTACGGCTGCTTGAAAGTCTCTAATTTCATTAAAAGTCCACTTGCTACCCCTACCCCAATGTAGGGTTATACTCCGTTTGAGTTTAAGGCCTATCTTTTGCCTTTTGGAATACCGTATTCCAGCTTCCCAGGCCGCTCCTTTATGACGGTACCGCTAAGTCTTGTGTGATCTGACTGTGGCTCCTGGGGACTTAAATTCCTTTTTTACTGAAGAGAGAATTAGCTTTTTTAAGCACCTACTGGGTGTCAGGCACTTTCTAAATATTATCTCATTTGATCCTCAAAAACAACCCTGGGAGTACATGCTGTTATTATCCCATTTTCCAAATGAGGAAAATGAGGCAGAAAGGTAAAGTGACCTGCCTAGGGTCTCTCATCTAGTGTTCCGGGTCAAATTTGAACAGAGGTCTTCCTGACTTCAGGGCTGGCTCAGATGTTTAAAGTACTTTCTCTTTCCCCAGCAAGCTCTAGATTTTGTCTGTAATGTTCCTGTGTATTTTCATTTTGATTATTCTATCTTTTTCTCTTCTAATATTTTTTATTTATTTGTTAAATTACATGCAAAAAAATTAACATTCGTTTTAAAAAATTTTTGAGTTCTAAATTCTCTCCTTCCTTTTCCCTTCTCCGTAGAGAAGGAAAACAACATGATATTAATCATTCCTGCAGCAAAACACATTTCAGTATTAGCCTTGTTGCAAAAACAACAACAATACATACACACACACACACACACACACACACACACACATACATACAAACAAGAAAACAAAGCTGATCTTTTTTTTTTTAAGTATATACTTCAATCTGCACTCAGAGTTCCTCAATTCTCTCTCTGGAGGTGAGCAGCATTTTTCATCAGGTGTCCCTTAAAATTATCTTGGCTCATTGCCTTGATCAGAGTGGCTAATTGACATAAGATTGCTGTTACTGTGTACATGTTCTCCTGGTTCTGCTCACTTCACTTTACATCAGCTCATATAGTTCTTCCAGGTTTTTCTGAACCCATTCCCCTCCTTATTTCTTATAGCACAATCACTCCATCACAATCACATACCACAACTTGTTAAACCATCCCAATCGATGGTCATCCTCTCAATTTCCGTTTATTTTGCCACCAGAAAAAGAGCTGCTATAAATATTTTTGTAAATGTGAGTCCTTTTCCTTTTCCTTTGATCTCTTTTAGGGAATAGACCTAGTAGTGGTATTGCTGGGTCATATATGCATACATATATGCACAGTTTTATAGCCCTTTGGGCATAGTTCCAAGTGACTCCAGAATGGCTAGACCAGTTTCCAACTCCAACAACAGCATTACTGACCCAATTTTTCCACATCCCCTATAGTATTTTCATTTCTCTTTTCTGTTGAGGTTTCTTTCTTTCTTTCTTTAGTTAAAAAAAATGTTTTTGTTATTTGAGATTAAGCTGTTCCCTCCCCCGCACTACAGGAGGCCACCATTTGACACAGATATATGAATGTGAAACCAAACAACACATATTTCCATATATCTGTTATTTTTCTGGAGGTGAATAGCATCTTCCTTCATAAGTCCTTTGTAATTGATTTCATTATAACACTCAGAAAAACTTAATCATTCACAGTTATTCTTCAAACATGTTACTGTATACAATATTCTCTAGGTTTTACTTATTTCATTCTTGATAATTTTATGCAAGTCTTTCCTTGTTTTTTTTTCTTCTTCTAAAATCAACCTGCCATCATTTCTTACAGCACAGTAGTATTCTCATGATTGTAAAACACAACTTGTTCAGTCATTCCCCAATTGATGGGCACCCCTCAGTTTCTAGTTCTTTGCCACCACAAAGAGAGCTGCTGACAAAATTTTAGAACATATAGGTTCTTTTTACTTTTTCCTGTTCACCTTGGGAAACAGACCTAATAGTGTTGTTGCTGGGTCAAAAGGAATACACAGTTTTATAACTCTTTGGGCATAATTCCAAATTGTTCTCCAAAATAGTTGAATCAGTTCACAGTTCCACCAACACTATATTAGTGTCCTAATTTTTCCACATCCCCTCCAACTTTTCATTTTCCTCTTCAATCATTTTAGCCAATCTGATAAGAGTGAAGTGGTGCCTCAGAGTTGTTTTACTTTGCATTTCTCTAATCAATAATTATTCAGAGCATTTTTTATATAATTATATGTACCTTAGATTTCTTCTTCCAAAAACTGACTGTTCATACCTTTTTAATGGGGGAATGACTCATATTCTCTTAAATCTAACTTAGTTAACTATGTATTTGAGATATGAGACCTTTATCTGAGAAACTAGCTATAAAAATTTTGTCCCAATTTTCTGCTTTGCTTCTTTGCTTGGCTACATTGGTTTTATTTGTCCAAACCCTTTTAATTTAACCAAAATTAACCATTTTAAATCTCACACTGCTCTCTATCTTTTGTTTATTCATAAAATCTTCTATCCTTAAATACGATAGGTAATAGGATCCATGTTCTTCTAATTTACTTATGATATCTCCCTTTATGTCTAGGTCATGGATCCATTTTGACCTTCTTTGGGTAAATGGTGTAAGATATTGGTCTACACCTAGTTTCTGCTAGACTGTTTTGCAATTTTCCCAACAATTTTTACCAAATAGAGAATTCTTATCACAGAAGCTAAAATCTTTACATTTATCAAACACAAGATTATTATAATAATTTACTGTGGTGTATTGTATGTCTATTCTGTTCTGCTAACCCTTTGGATTGTATGCGGTAACTGTGTGCATCAGTACCTGATAGTTCTGCTGGTACAAGATGGTCCTGGTCATACAAGGGAAATTCTCCTGAGGTCAGCTTGTTCGTGTAACAGGGAGAGATAGTTTGCCTCACTGGGCCCACTCATGAGTTATTGCCAGAAACAGGGCCCTTGGGACTGGAGGAAAACTGTCAGGATAGTGTTTCTGAGGCCAGGGAGAAATTGGGGTCTAAGCACAGGCACCCAAGCACCCCATCATTTCTAGCTTGCTATATTCACACACACACACACACACACACACACACACACACACACACACACACACACACTGTAGCCTAGCCTGCACACAGGCTGCATAGGGGGTCAAAGTACACAAGTGTGGTCAGAGACATGTCTATGGGGTTCCCTTTCATGTAGGATGGGCTAGTTTTTCCCTAAAACAGCAGGAAAATTGTCACCAAGTTTTCACTGGTCCAGGCACCTAGAGTTTGCACTATTGATATGGTTTCCCAGTTTCCTTGTTTGTTGTCCTGGAAACCAGGAGATGTAGATGAGGAGGCAGAGCATTCTGTTCTTGAGGGAGAGGGGAGATGGAGTGTTTCCTTGGGGGAACAGCAAGGAGGTCAATGTCAATGGATACAGAGCAGCATGGTCAGGGTGGTGGAAGTATAATAATATGGAAAAATGGAATGGTGGCTGAGGATGGGTTATGGAGGGTGGGAAGCCACATGTTTTTCTATTTGAGCCTGGTGGTGATAGAAAGCCACTGGAATTTATGGAATTGAGGAGGGACATGCTCAAACATGGCTTAAGAGACAGCTGGGGTGAAGGTGGACTAGACTGAGGAGAGACTTCTGGCAGCAGACCAACCACAGACTAATGTAATCTCCCAGGAGTGGTGACATGGAACACAGTGATCAAAGGAGAGGAAGGGGGAATGTGTGAGGGGTTTTACAAAGGCAAAATCAGCAGACCTTAGAAATAGATTGGATATGGGAAATGAGAAATAGGGGAAAGTCCTGCATTGATATCTAGGTTTGGAAGTAGAGAATTGAGAATGGTAGTACCTTGGACAGTAATATGAGGTGTGGAAGGGGTAAGTGATTGGAGGTGAA